CTTTGGCTTCTCGCAATGGAAATGACCGTTGTTGATTGGGCAACTGAAAGTGAGTAATGCAGAAATATGGAATTTAATTAAGGTTAATGCAGTTTTTAGGAGGTTTAAGTTCTTAACTTTAAGATCCCTTGAGGCCCGATCTTATAACCACAACGAAACGCAGCAGACCACCCAGGATTTAAGGTTTAAACCGAAATTCCTGGAAACTCAGGGGCCCTCTGAATCGGATTCCCATCCCCTCCTCTCATCCCGCATTATTGTTAATGAATTCTACACGTATGGCTGGGATTCCATTGGATTCGGTCTGCAACTCGGGCAAAAAAATCCTGTTCTGCCGTCCAGTTTTTGCATAAAAATGTAGCTATACCCTTTTCGCCGGCCAGTCATAATCAATTTGTAACGATCTTACTCCTCGAAAGATCTTTGTCTTCTGATTTTATAAATTTAGCCACAACCTTAACAAAACTGGTTTCGTAAAGTTCAAGGCCTTAACCCATATGTTATTTTAATTATATATAAATTATCGTATTTAAATTTGGGCACGCAACCGGTTTAAAACCAGCCGAGAGCCGAAAGCCGCTTCCTATTTGGCTTAAATCCTGTGTAAGCACTCTGGCGAATTTTACAAAAGTGCTTCTGACAGCTGAATTAATTTTGTTTTAATCTAGAAATGTCAAAAGAACTAACGACATGTTTTAAATTGCACAGTCCTTTGGCAATCGATTGGAAAGTGCTTTTGACAGATGAATAATTTTGCACATTAAATGGAAAAATAAACAAATATTTTAATAGGAAATAAAAAGTTCTCTGGTAAACAAGGGTGTGTTGTTCTTCGACTACTGTTTGGCCAATTTCGTTTAGCTCCTGCTACGCCCTTTTCATTTCGCTGTTGCCAAGTCGCCAAACTTGGCCGAGACAAAGTCAAGGTGTTGGCCACGTTGCGTTGCCTTTTCGCTTTGCCTCTGCCTGCTTTTTGGTTTAAAGGCGAGGGTCAATGCACAAGTGATTGGTTTTTAAGTGCACGAGACGCCGCCAACGATTTACCTTTTTGGGCTGCGAAGTTTCAATGACACTTTGCATAATTTTTTGGAATTTTCTCCCTCGCCGGGTGATGGATCATGATATCCTATTTGTGTGTTGACAGAGGCAGAGCCCCCGAAAAATCCAATTTCTGGACCTCGCTCACAGAACCCAGGCAAACAATACGAAAAAGGCAGGAAGGCAGAAAGCAGAGCCTCCCCATAAAATGGCAAAGTTTAAAGGTTGATGCGACAAAGTGGTAATAACACTCAGTCAAAGCAAGGTGAAAAGGGACTAGGGTTTGTCTTTAATCAAAACTGAAAAATAAAGAGACAACAAAAGCGTCGAAGCGGCATAAGCCGAACAATTTGGGGGCACAGGAAGGGACCAGAAAACCAAAAAAAATGTCAAAAGAAAACTTCTTTTTTTTTGTTCGTCTATGTGTACTTTACGAGTTGTTTTTTTATAGAGGAGGGGCGGTGGCAGTGGTTATTTCGGGGGCGGCTGTGAATGTAAAACGTTTTTCTGTAGACAAGAGCAAATAACATAGCCCCTAGCCAAATATTTCGGGAAAACGGAATGGAAGCTCCTCGGAACGAAAGTTTATCAAGGTCATTACGCCAGGTTGGCTTCTGTTTGCCCCATCAGCCCTCCGCCCACCTGTCACTTCCCGTCTTGTTGATTAGGACCAAGAATTTCTGTTTCTTCTTATCAATTCGACGGCAGACTGGGCAGGTGCGTCAGTTCGGTTCAGGTGTTTGCCCGGAATGCGTTGCGCTCCCCATTAGAAGGAAAGAGGATTGCCGGATGGTAAGCTCTTCGAAAAGATGAGAAGCACGGAGGAGAGGCCATTAGGAATCAATTCTAGTTGGGATTCTAGTTGGGATTGCCATATCATCGTATTTGCCAGGCGAATGGGATATGGACTGGCAGTTCGTCAATTACCTAAACAAACCTAGACCTGAGGCTTTTCCAAAAACCTTTTACAATGACAAATTAGGTTTGAAAATGCAATTGATAGGATTAGATTCAAGCTAGAGGTTCACACTTCATTTTAAAGAAATAGATTGGACGTCGAGTTAAGCTAAAATAACAATAAAATATGTAATATGAGTATTAAGTAGGTTTCTCAGAACAGTAAACCATTAAAAGCCATTAACTAATTAGGCTGTATCCTTTTCATCTATTTGAAATTCAAGCGAAAGACTCATCATTAAATTGGTTTTCACTTGAAGTGATTCGATTAAATTTGCATGCCCTCGGGGGACTTCCTTTGGCAACTAATAAGGCCGTGTGCCCTCCGCCCATTTACACTTATCCCTCTACGGCCCTCTTTCACTTTTCCGACATATCCCGCAGAAACTTTTCTCACATTTCACTTCAACTTTTCCCACACGCACAAGGAACTCCAACTGCAAGTTCTAATTGAATTTAGTTTTATTAGGGAACATGAAAGAAAAACACAGGGCCTGGAAAATGGAAGCCTCTGGAGCGTTTTCAGTTTTCATTTTCATTGGCTCGAAAAAAGGGTGAGGGAAATCTGGTTTCTTAGGGGCAAGTAAAATCCCATATTCTCAATCAGGGGCGGCAGGATTAATTAGATTGAACGAGGAGGGAACTCTTTAGAAAACCGAAAGCCACAAGAAAAACAGGCACCGAAAGTTGGTAAGCCGATTTCGGCTAAAAAAGAAACAGCAAGTGAACAAAGGCGGCGACCACAAAAATTGATTTAAGCTGATTTTCGGGGCATTTGTTTCTTTTCGTTTTCTTCTCTTCTAGTGACTAACAATATTGACCGACGGCCACGCCCAATTCGGGGGCGGCGGGGCAATTAATATCAATTCCCGTTGGGCCATTAACACGAGCCAAAAACATATTGGCTAACAAGTGTCAAAGTCGCGCCAAATTAGCGCAGAAGGCGACGATGATGATGGCATGTGGGCGTGGTCGGGATTGGTATAGGGAATTGGAATTGCTGCCAAGGATTGGGGATAGGATAGCCGATGATATCCTGCCAGGGGAAGAGCAGCATGTGGCCAACCCTCATTGATAATAATATTCGATTGGGTTTTATTTGCCCATGGGGTTGGAACTGATGGTTTATTATTGTCTGGTCTGGGCCCAGGATACCCAGGATACACAGGATACACATGTTCCTGCCAATTGCCTACGTCACCCTGTTGTGGAAAGGGGTTTTGCGGGTTCGCCCTTCGAACCCCAGTCGATAAACTGTGACGCAAGCCCTCGAAAGAGCGAAAACAATAGTTCCGACTTGACAGTTGCACAGTTGAACAGTTGAAAAGGGCACCGCCTGGGGTCACACATCAGAGATATTGGACTTAAACCATCTGCAGGGCTCGAGTTCTTCTGTAAATGGCACATTGACTCCCCGATGAAAAGCGGAAGCGTTTATCAGCCCGTCTTAATTATGCAGCGTCTGGAGTTCTGAAACAATCAGAGACACCCGGCTGCCAGTGACGTCCCACAGAAAAATCAACTGGAAATGCAGAGGCGATAAGGAAAATAAGGGAAATTCATCGAAACAGGGCGAGGGCCGTCCTTGAAAATTCGGAAAACGGGAAATGGGGAAAAGTTTCGCTTTTGGGGCACAAACTATTTTTAACGACTCGCATTTGTCAGCTGCAAATGGAAACGGGAATTTATTGCCCCGGGAATGAATGGTGATTTATGGTGATTTCAAAATGGCTTCACTAATTGGTTCGAGTTCTTTAGTTTGATGTTCATGCTATAAATACACGGATTTTTGAAGTGCAAGAACCGCAAATAATATAAAAAAATATAAAAAATAATAACTCTAAAAATAATCTTAACAAAATATTAAAAACATTACTTTTAAATCTGACGTATACAGTGACGACAATTGGTCATTAATCACTACATTTTCTAATATATTTTCGAGTGAGCAATGAGGTCATAATAAAACTTCCAGAATTCATAAGATATTAATGGGGTTTTTTCTGGATAATATCTGAATGAAAACAATGAGCTGTGGTGAATGAGAAATCGGATGTTTTTGTTTGTTCATTGATGGTAGGGAATTTCATGTTTATCGACCTGATACTTCAATTTAAACGATTATTTTAATACATTTTCCATTACTTATCGATCAGCCCTCTTTCAGCGGTAGAAGGGATAGGCGACAAAAACAAAGTGACAATAAATAATGAGCTATAAATATTCATATTGTGCATTGTTTGTTTGATCTGTGTGAGTGTTTAAAGAGCGAAGAAGAACCGCTGATAAGCATTTCCGATTGCTTTCGCTTTTTAATCGATTGACGGATGGGCGGGTGGCAAAGGAGGGAAAGGAACGGCGAGTCCTGCGGCATTAATGCAATTAATTAGACAGAGAGACAAGGCCAACGTGTGTGTAAATTACTGTTACAGTTAAGTTAAGTGCTTAAGTGCAACAGAGGGGGACGGCAAATGAGGTGTGACAAGAGGAAGAGGGAAGGGGCGACTTCCACCTGATTAACGGCACTTACCTGGTTGTTTTTTAGCTAGTTGAAATTTTTCGCAACAAATCTGCGGATTCTGATAAGAAAGCGGGCGTTGATAAGACCCTTCTCTACCTCTCTTTTACACACTACCACAGTTGCAGCATAAACAATTGGAAAGAAGAAGCAGCAGCGACACGCCTAGTGGGCAATTTTCCGGCTTTTCCGCTGGGAAATCTGAAATCTGCGCGGTTCTCCTATTTGGCTTTGTGCTTTTGGATTTTGCCTTTTGGCTTTGCGCGAGAAATACTCTTTGATTTTTGTTTTTCTTTTCAATTTGACCGCATTTGTCGATTTTGGTTTTCTTTCAACGCTGTTTTTGTTGTTGTTGCGGCTCTCACCGAAACTCACACACACACTCGCGGCTCTCACACACAGATGGGCGGGCACACACAGACACACACACGCACACAACGACACACGCGGCGTTTGGGTGACGGAAAAAATACGAGAAAAACGGTGAAAATTGCAGATTTCTGGTTGGGGAACGTCGCGGAAAACAGCGGTTGATTTTCACCAGGTGCTCTGACTAGCGGCTCACGGCGGCGTTCGCTTTGGGCTTTTGCTCGAGTTCCCCGATTTCAGTTGGATCGTCCGCGAAGTGTCTGCTTTCTCCAGAATTTTTTTTAAAAATGATTTAGTGGTGGGGCGTGAGGAAAATATAAACAAAGTAACCTATCGATATTTTGATGGTCTCACTAAAATGTAAGCATGGTTAGCGGGAACACGAACCATGGGAATATGGTCACCCCAAAATGTAAGCAGGATTAGCGGAGACACGAACCATTCTAAGTGTCCTCGCTAACTTAGCCGCGACACCTCTAAAGGAGTTTCACTGGATTTTTTAGGGGAAAATATCGAAATTTTTTAGGGCAAAGTAAAATTTTCACATGGCAACACTGCCACATGTGATAATCATTTTTTGATGTCCGCCGCGCCAACGATATGCCCAAACATATGGTGTGCAGTGTACAAGGTGAGATCACGACAGACAGACTTTAATAAACTTACTCTTCCATATTAGCCATTTCGTTTATTGACTTGAATTGTATTGTATTTTCACTTGAATTTAGTTTTTAAGTCTTAAAGTAATTTTAGATAGGTTTTTGCATAATCGCACTGATTTTTGTTTATCCTATATACAAAAAGACTTTGCCCAATTGGTAATCTTGCAGTTGTAAAAATAATGTAGATTAAATAATATCGAAGAGCTGTTTGCTTGGTTGCTCATTTTTTTTTTTTTTAATTTTTTACTGATACACTGACTATTTTTTTCTAAATGATTTACTTTTGTGAACAAAAGATATCTCAACGCACGCTATTTTTTGTTTGTTTTGGACGACTTTTTGTTGGGTTGCCATTGAAAGATGTACATGTATGTTTTCTGTTTGTTGTTTTTATTTTGTTTTTTCACATAGTGCAGGTACGCATGTGCCCGGCCATTTGGGCACTGGTTCGGGTCAGGCGGCCACATTCGCACCGGAACTTGTACTGCTCGGCGCGGCACGTCGCTGCGTGGCGGTCGAGCTGGGCCACCGATTGGTAGGACCCACGGCAAATGGGGCACAACTGTCGAGCCCTCCGTGCCGTGGAGGCCTCCTCCGCCGGCTCGACGCGCGGGGAGACCAGCTCTGCCCAGCCGGTCCCCTGCGCCTCGAACCACCCGCTGCCGCTCCAGATCCCTGGCCGCCGCCTCCTGCTGCTCGTGCTCCTGCTGCTGCCGCTCCCTGGCCTGCTGCAGCCGCTCCTGCTGCTGCCGCTCCTCATCCTCATCGTCGACGGCATCCTCCACGAGCATCACTTCGTCCTCCTCCTCCAGCTCCTCCTCCTGCAGCTCCTCCTCCGGCCACTGCTGCGCCGGCTCCTCCTCCTCCGGCTCCTCGTCCTCCGGCTCCTCCTCCTCCGGCTCCTCCTCCTCCGGCTCCTCCTCCTCCAGCGCCAGCTCCTCCTCCTCCTCCTGCACCTGGGCATCGTTGTCGGCCTCCTCATCCAGGCGCCGGAGGGCCAGCTGACGGTTGGCTCCCTCCTGGGTGTTCTGGAGGAGCTCCAGCTGCGCCTTGAGGAACTGGCGCTGGGTACGGTGAAGCAGCCGCTCCAGCTTCCGCCGCTCATCCGCAGACACCGTCGCCCTGCCAATGGCCTTGTTGATGGCCAGGGCGAGGGCCTGGAACGCGGCCTTTTGCGTGGCCACCAATGCGGCCCTGTTGTATTGGCCGGAGTGCCGGATTTGACTGTATTAGCTGGCGAAAGCACGTTGCCTGCGCGGACAAAATCGTATACAGCATGTTGAAATGTTCAAGTGGGACTGGCTGCGCAAGTGCAACATTTGCCTCTTCAAACGTAGTAGTTTAGTTAGCGACCGCTGCGTGGCGGTCGAGCTGGAGCACCGATTGGTAGGACCCCCGCCTCCTCTGCCGGCTCGACGCGCAGGGAGACCAGCTCTGCCCAGCCGGTCTCCTGCGCCTCGAACACGGCCACCCGCTGCCGCTCCAGATCCCTGGCCGCCTCCTGCTGCTCGTGCTCCTCATCGTCGTCGTCGATGACAATGACCTCGACGGCTTCCTCGACGAAAATCACTTCGCCGTCTTCCTCCTCCTCCGGCCACTGCTGCACTGGCTCCTCCTCATCCAGCTCCTCCTCCAGCACCTGGGCATCGTTGTCGCCCTCTTCATCCAGGCGCTGGAGGGCCTGCTGCCGGTTGGCTCCCTCCTCGGTGTCTCGGAGGAGCTCCAACTGCGCCTTTAGGAACTGGCGCTGGGTTCTTGCTTCAGGCGGCCGTACCAGGATGTCATTAAAATGGCCAGGACGTGGCTCGTGACGGGCTGCAAAGACATTGAGCGTGTGGGGGACTACTTGGGACTCACCTGGGGAAGGACGAGGACATCAGTCATGAGGAAAAATCCTCCCATGTCCTTGAAGGCTAGCAGACCATCTAGATTCCACGTCAGCCCGCTTGGTCTCCCCGGGTGGTCCACCTTGGGGAGGTGCTTTGCGACGCTAGCGGCCAAGTTGGAAGATTGGAAAAATGCAATATTTTGCAGCTCCAGCTCCATTTGTGCGAATTAGTGCACTTGCACTGGGTGCCCACCAATGCGGCCCTGTTGAACTGTCTGGAGTGCCGGATTTGCGATTGGATTAGCTTGCGAAAGCAGGTTGCCTGCCCAGCTAAAATTGTGTAAAGCATTCTGCTGCAATGTTCAAGTGCGACTGGCTGCGCAAGTGCAACATTTGCCTCTTCAAACGTTGTAGGAAAGAGAGGAAGCATCGCAGCCAGTAAGAGTGAGGGGGAAAGATGCCAAATTTTTGGCCAATTTGTACACGTACATGTGTGTGAACTGTTGGGGCAGCAAAATGCACTATGGGGCATTTGACCACTTTTGTTGACCGAAATTAATAACTCGGTCAATTCAAAAGATATTGACTTGAACCTTTACCAGTCGCCATTTTTTGTCCCTACGCATATTATATATGAGAATCGTCCAGATCGGACAACTATATCATATAAATTAACTTTGCTATTTTTGAAGATAAATGCACATAACTTGAAAAATAGCAATTGTGTACAATTTTAAAAGTTTCGTACAAATCGGAACCTTAAACAACATTTTTGGTTTTCTTTTTTAATTGCTTAAAATGGGTTAAAGCCCAATTGCTCAGTGAGGGTGAGCAGGCACACAACTCGGCAAACAAATTTGTGGAGCTCGACCTCGCCCATCGCGTCTCCTCGCCAATTTGCTTGACCACGTTGGCCCACTTCTTGCCCACGCCCTCCAACAGATCGTTGTTGGCCTCCGCGAAACGGAACGGGTGGTCGCTGATGCGGAATCGCGCCTCCAGGACTTCCCGATTCCAATGCCTCTGGAAGGACGTGATGCGCCTCGCCTCAGCCGGCAACTGCTCGCACTGGTGTTGCGCCTTGGCCTTGTTTGATTTATTTGATAATCTGCGCACCGGGCCGGATCAGAGCGTATCCAAAATATATCGCTCAGATCCCAGAGTCTGATCGTAAAGTCCTCTAGGGGCTCTGCGAAATAGGTCCCAAAAAAAAAAAATGAAATAAGGCCCCAAAAATTGGGGAGTCCTTTTATATGAAATAAGTCCCCAATTTAAAAACAAAATAACTCCCCAATCCCAAAAAGTCGGCAATATTCAATATTTCAATAATTCAAAAAAAAAATACCACACCAAATTTGTTTTAGTTGTTTTGATGTGTGTATTTTACGTTTTTTTTAAATTATTTAAAATTAAATAAAGACTTGCATGGTATCTTCAACATCTTTTCTGCAATAAGGGCACTTGTAATGCTCTAAGTTACTTGCAATTGCTTCTGCTTGTAGTTTTAGATGACATTTAGCGCAAGTTTTTAAATGTTTGCATGGAAAAAATAAAATATTTGGAACCAAGTCCAAACAAACCACAAAATATTCTCCTTTCGTGTTTTATGTGTCGAAGAACCTCCACTCTCAGTTAGTTGTATAAATTGGCGACTTTTAAAGTATTCCTCTTCCCGAATAACTTTAACAAATGTAAAGAAATTGCCCTTTGGCAACACAGAACGCCCTAAAACACCATTGTATCCTTCCACAGCTGCTGTCGTGCGAGTATTTTTCTTATACACTGAAAACTTATTGCAGCCCACCTATTTACAATTTCAGAAATAAGTTAATATTTTTAATATTCTTAATCCACTGCTTGTCGAAATAAGTTAAAAAATTGCGAAAATCGTTGTTAACATCAAACATAAAAATTCGAATCTTGATTTTGTGAAAAGCGCTTTCAATTAAATACGGAGGTAGCAATGGTAAAGCCAATATTTTGTGAAAATCCGAACTAGATAGTTTTGAATTCCTAATGGCTGCCTCATAATCTTTGACTGGTTAAATCATTAAGGTTGGAGGCTGTAAAATTAATAGTGTGTGTTGCTAAAAAATCAGACACTTTTACCAAGTTTTTAAATTGTTTTGGGCTGTTTAAAGTACATCTGTAATTGTTTTTAATTTTATCATACCCGGCATTAATTTTTAGGAAGGCAATTTTATATAAATTTATAGACGCAGTTATGTCTTTATATAGAAATATGCGAGTTATTTTTAGTTGGCAACGGAGTAATTAGGCCACTAAAATATTTTTTGTATTGTTCATATTTGTTTATAGCACCTTATTAGACGCAAAAGGTTTGGCAATTCAACCAAAAAAAATCAAATCAATTTTTATTATTGATCCCATTTCACAGTAGCTCTAATAAATGAGCAAAATTGTACTTTTTAGATTCAATTTTGCTCATTGCTCATCGGTTCAGGTAGTACCGTATTGAGGCATTTTACAATACTAAAAAAAAATACCAAAAGTGCCCATCGGTTTTTACAATTTGCTTATTGATTGCTTATTGCAGCCGACATATATCTGTCTTGCTCGCACCTACGTAAAATTGTATATGCTGAGAAAAAATTGCACTAATGAATGACCCGAACAATGTAGTGGAATAACCGCATTACTGACTGCGTTTTTTGTTCTTTTACAGGTCGATGGAATTCCAGAGGATGAAAAACAGGACCCGGGGACAGCAAATAGGCAACAGAAAGGTTTGTTCGAGTCGAGGAACCAAGAGGACACGTACCGCAGCGTTACCAAACCCGGCCCCCAGCGGATAGTACTGGCAATTAGTTCAATTAATTTGAAATGAAATGAAAAAGGAATACGAATAAAGAGTGGATAAAGTGAACATGCCGGTTGTTTTAAATATCAGCAATTGTGACAACGTGTTAAAAACGATTGAAAAGAACAAGAAACATTTAAAAGCAGCTAAAACAATAAAGAACGTTTTACGACAACAAAATGTGAAAAAGATTGGAAAAAAAACTTGATACGAAAAGGAAAAAAATTCCAGGAGAGTATGTGAAAATAAGAATAGAAAAACCAAAAGAAAAAATACACCGGGAAAATATGTAAAAATTAATAAAAACCAAAACAAAAAGCAAATTAAACAACAGTCGCACTTGAACATTTGAGCAGCAGAATGCTATACACTATTCTGTCCGCGCAGGCAACCCGCTTTAAAAACCTAATCCATTCACAAATCCGGCACTCCGGCCACTACAACAGGGCCGAGCTGGTCCGGACCCAAAAGGCCGCCTTCCAGGCCCTCGCCCTGGCAATCAACAAGGCCATTGGCAGGACCACGGTGTCGGCGGAAGCTCGAGCGGCTGCTTCACCGTACCCAGCGCCAGTTCCTCAAGGCGCAGCTGGAGCTCCTCCAGAACACCCGGGAGGGAGCCAACCGGCAGCAGGCCCTCCGGCGCCTGGATGAAGAGGCGGCCGGGATGAAGAGGAGCCAGTGGAGCAGTGGCTCATCGTGCCGGAGGAGGAGGACGACGACGTCGTTATTGTTACAAATAAACAAAATAACAAATAATAATAGAAATAACAAAATGAACATCCAAGACCAAGCAGAAGAAACACCAGCCAAGGAAAGAGTAGTCATGTTGAGGGAGGGAGGAAGACTACGACGAAGTGATTTTCGTCGAGGTCGATGACGACGATTTTTATTACCGCGCGCCATACCTTTTTACAGTGTGGCCGTTCGGATAAGTGGTAAGAAATCTCATATTGCTCACCCTTGCGTTTTTACGGTATTTCGATGAAGAGTTCGTGCGGCTACACTTTGCGGAATTTTTCCTGGTCACACAAAAAATAGAGCGAAGGTATTTTACATCAGTTTTCATTATGGAAGAGTTCAATTATTGAAGAGAGCTCAGTTTGCTTGATTGCTCATTTTTGTTGTTTTTTTAATGTTTTTTTTTCACTTACTATTTTTTTACTATTATTTTTTTTAAATGATTTACTTTTGTGAACAAAAGATATCTCAGCGCACGCTATTTTTTTTTTGTTTTTTGTATAGCATTCCATGTCTACCATTTGATCCACCAGGCTTATACTCCCAATCGGCAGGTCATTCGGAGTCAATCTTAGGTACTGCAGATAATCTGCGCACCGGACCGGATCAGAGCGTATCCAAAATATATCGCTCAGATCCGAGAGTCTGATCGATCTAGTAATCTGTTATTTAAAATTTCATAAACTAAACATTTATAAATATGAAAACATTGCATACGAATATTTGGTTATCGACTGGATCATGTTCAATTTTTGATTGGCTTGTGTAATTGTGTCGGCTCAGTTTGCCCATTTTTTTTTGTTATGTTTATTTTTTCACTTTTTACTGATACACTGACTATTTTTTTTTTGAAATGATTTACTTTTGTGAACAAAAGATATCTCAGCGCACGCTTTTTTTTTCTTTTTTGTATAGCCTGCCATGTCCGCCATTTGATCCACCAGGCTTATACTCCCAATCGCAAGACATCCGGAGTCAACCCTAGGTACTGCAGATAATCTGCGCACCGGGCCGGATCAGAGCGTATCCAAAATACATCGCTCAGATCCGAGAGTCTGATTGTAAAGTACCGCTTTAAACCCATTTCGTCGATCTTATCCAGGATTCTGTCTAAGGCGAATTTTATGCGCTTAGAAGTCATGCGCACAAGTCAGTAATAATAATGGAAATACAAAAAAGTTATAGGCTTAGGTTTTACGTTCTTACCCAGGGGCATTTAAAATGGAGCGCTCTTGAAATTGTCGATCTGGAAGTTGTGTTTTATATGTTTCGATGATGATATCGATATGGTTAATAATATCGCAAGTGCTGTTTCTGTTCGCAGTTCAAAAAGTGAAGTGAAGCACCGTAAAGCTCAGCTTTCGAAGTGGTGGGTGGCGTGTTAGTAAAGGAAAAATAGGAGTGTCATTCAAAGCTTTAGGAAGCTTTACTCTTCCAGAAATGATAAATTCTTCACGAAAGGAAAATTTCAAAATGAGCGCCGATCTGGGAGTTGCCACTTGTTTTTCTGGGGATGGGGAACTTTCGCGTGAGCGCTGGCGATGTGTCGAACCGGCAAGGGCTGTTTTAGGGGAAAAGCAAGATTTCCATCCGGCAACGCTGCCTCGTTCAAAACTCAAAACAAACTTTTCCATTCATAAGCAAAGCTCGGGCTCCAGTTCTCCGATGGGCGAACTATTGTTTGGACGTGTTTGCGGCGCCGCTCTTTGCACTTGCGGGCGATTTCTCGAGTAATTTTTCGCCGGCGCTTGTAATTCGCGACTCTTCCGTGTGTGTGTGCGACAAACAAAAGTTAAACAAGCTGGAACAACAACAACAATCGCAGCCATGTGTGGGTGTGTGTGCGTGTGTTTGAGTGCGTGAGTGCGAGCGAAACACAAACGTAAAGCGGAAATGCAAAAAAGACAACAAAGGTAGCAAAAAAAAACAAAAAAAAAGGAGGAGGCAACAGGAGCCGGTGCAGCCAGAGAGAGCGAGACGGCAAGCGATTGGGGGGCTAATGAAAACGAAATGTGATTCATTGGCTTTATCAATTGTGCAAAAAATTCCGGCATTGTTTAGTCCTGGGCGACAAATAAATTATGACATAATACAACAAAGGAGGTAAAAAAAATAACAAGAAGCTGGTGGGGAGGCAAAGTACCGAAAAAGTGCGTGAATGTGTGGGTGGCTGAGTACTTGAAAATTGAGAAATTCCAAACAAACAAAGCGGCAAAGTACAGTAGTTATTGCCCGCAAAAAGCCGAAAACCAAAAAAAAAACAAAAGAAACCCAAAAAGCAAAGGCAAAGCAAAAGCAAAGCGAAAGCGTAGCAAAAACAAGGAGCAAAACGGCGGCGAAAAAGCTTAGTTCTTCTTCTTCCCGCCGTGTGTTTGTTGCTTCTTTACTTTTTGTATTTCATTTTTTTGCAAACAAAATGTATATGATGCCCAAACAAGAAGCACAAGAAGAAGAAGCAGAAGCCGGGAGAGGAACGAGCATAATAGAAGGTAGAAATTTCGAGGAAATCGAAATTTGCGTCGTTGCTGAAATTCGTTTGTTCTCCTTCCTCCCCCTCGCCCCCCCCCCTCGTCATCCCCTTCATCTTCTCTTTCGCTCTCTGTTTTTCTGAGCGCCTGATTCTGTGTCTGTGTGAGTGTGTGCGATGTGCCCGCGTATCTGTGTGTGTTTTTGTGCAAAAATTCGCATACAATTTGTTTTATATAACAACAACTACCCCAATATGATTTCCTTTATCCAGCCGGTTTTTTTGCTTATCTCCCGATTTTCGGTTTTATCTTACCAAAAAATTGAAATTAAATATATGGACTGCAAAAGAGTTGTAAACAAAGCAAAAGTTTCTATCTTTGGGCTGTAAACAAATGAACGCCATTGTATACAGAGAAAAAAACTATAATATGATTTTAAAATATTTTATTCTAGTTATGGAAGTTATAATATAGTTATAATCTTAATGATTATGATGATGGTACACTTTTGCAATAAATATAAATACCCTATATTTGTCTACTTTCTTTCCGTGTATTCAAAACAAAAAAAAGCTCAAATTCGCACAACCACTTTTTGCATTTTTCTTTTGATTTATTGAATTCTTTTTTTTTTTTCAATTGTCATACAAATAAAAGTTTGTCTGCGATTTGCTTTACTTTTTGCACAGCCTTTCATAGTGGAAATAGCAAAGACAACAACAACAACAGCAATATAATAGTAATGGCAACGACGCCAAAATATATTTTAGCATTCATTTATGCGATTTTTTTCGACGAGCTTTGGTTTGCCGCGCGATTTTTGCGCACTCGAGATAGAAATGTATCTTGCAGATACACGCGCCTTTTGTGGAATTGAAATTGAAATGGGCCCCGCCGCCTTTTATGTGGCATCATCACCGGCATCATCATCATCATTATTATTATTATTATTATTATTACTACTATCATTATTATGGCGATGCGTGCGTAATGACAGCTGAAGAATCTGAGCCGAAGAATCTGCGAATTTATCGCAGCTTAAATCCAAACCCTCACAAAAAGCCAGTACAAATTTAAGGCCGATAAAAGGATAATGATGGAGGAAGTGGAATGGAAGGAGAAAAAAAGGATGGGACTTTAGCGGATAAAGGGGTTCTTTTTCTTACTATTGAAATTATTAATCAAACTAGAAAGGGCAGGAAATGATTACTGAAAGAAATACTATTTCTAATTGCATTATCATCAAAACAGTTTTTATATTTTTATTGTCCAATAGAGGAGTTTTAATATTTTTGTTCTCAAGAAATTATCAAGTTCTTGTTCAAAATGACCCATATTAAAATTTATAGAGATTAAAATAAATAAATATCTGAATTCATGGAAAAGTGTTTTTTTTATACCCTTGTAGAGGGTATTATAATTTCAGTCAGATGTTTGCAACGCAGTGAAGGAGACGTTTCCGACCACATAAAGTATATATTTTCTTGATCAGCACCAATAGCCGAGTCTATCTAGCCATGTTCGTCTGTCCGTCTGTCCGTCTGTCCGTTTCTATGCGAACTAGTCTCTCAGTTTTAAAGCTATCGCGATGAAACTTTCCCGAAGGTCTTCTTTCTATTGCAGGTAGTACATATGTCGGAGCCAGCCGGATCGGACCACTATATCTTAAGGCTCCCAATCAAATATAAGAAAATTCATTGTAACTTTGTAGGAAGTAGGCGTTTTGATTCTTGACTACTTAAAAACAAAATTGAAATAAATCGAAACGCTGAATCTGGAATCCCTGGAACTGCACCGAGTGAGTATTCTTTTATCTACAAGGGTATATAAGCTTCGGCTGGCCGAAGGTAGCTTCCTTTCTTGTTTTTTTACAATGATAGTTAAAAAATCCTCAAATTTAAAGAGCCTTTTCTATGGTTTATCAATTTGAAATACAGAAATTTAAAATAAATCAATTTCTTCAAATTGCTCGAATTTCCACTGGTTTTAAGCATGACTATTGTGAGGCATTTTAAGTAATTCGTGCCTTATAACCCAAACTAAATCCAAACTAGGTTGGCCAATAAAAAGAAGTTTAGAAAATCATGAACGCAAATGATTGAAGTTTGCAAAACAACAGAATCCAAAGGAGCAAAAACTTTCGTTGGCTTTTGGAAAAAGTTTCTTAAAACTTTATGGCTTGAAAAGTGTAATAAAGTAAATCAGGAATATTAAAAATTACTTGAAACTAGCTTTTCCCTTTAAAGTTTTATTTAATTTGATAGCACAAACAAAAGATGAACTAAAAATATGATTTACACTTTTGGTTTATTTTTTTTGGTCCCTTGGGGCTTTGAGCCTTTAGAACCCAGGCATTACTGTACCTCCCACCTTATCAATTTCCCGATTTTGAGCGCTGACAAACAAATGACATTGGCGCCGGGCCATCGTGTTGGCGGCATGTTTGTGCGGACTATTAAACAAATTGAGTATACGCACTGTTGCTCGCGTAAAATATTTATGCGTACGCCCAAAATATATTAGCATACTTTTGCGTGTATGCGTGTGCATGGGGGTGTGCATTAAATTAGTAAATAAAATTCGGTGATTTGATTTCTCCCCCGATTTCCGTCCATTTCCGAAGCCAAAAATCGCAGTGAGAGGAGAAATGAGAAAATGCTCTTGGTAATCGAATTGACTGGCAGCGTGAAGAGTTCGTTAATGTTCCAATAATCGCGTCGAGATAAAAAGATATAATATAATAATTACAATCGCGGTTGGGCCCAGCGAAACCAAAAAGAGGGAGCCTCCAACCGGAAAGCGGTGACAACAAACGTGGGATTGCAATGTGTTTGTTTTACCATCGACGTCTCTTCGTGATTCAACTGATTGAGATCCTGCTACTGCTGCTGCTAACCGACCACAATGGACGACTGACACTTACTAAGGAGTCGACAACAGGTGAGTGTTGTTACCACATTTCACACTTGCCAATAGTGTTGCCAATTTGGCTTTTGTTCTGGCCAAATCGGAATATTTTTAGGCATTCTATTAGCAGAAATGGTAGATATTCATGGAAATTTTGTGATATAGTTGAATACATATAGACGTCCTTTATAATGGTTATGATCTGGTTTTTAGATTTAAAAAAAATCGTATATTTATTAGAATTATAAAAGTTCAGGCCATGTATTTTAAAAAATTTCCAAAACCTATAATTTTTCATTAACGTCTTTAGTAAACTTTTTTACTGGATATTTTGATATGAAATGTTTCAAAATACTTAACAGAAAATATACTATTTATGAATTCCTCTCTTTTTTCTTTTTAGTTTATACAACTAAAATACAATTTACTTACCAGTTGCTTTATATTTTTATTGCCTGTTTTCGGCTAAATTTAGTTTTAAAACAGTTGACAACACTGATCCAAAGTGCCAGTCGGAACTCCACTGGGGACCCACAAAACTTTAGGCAATAATCATAAACTAATGGCGTAACATGGCAGGCGTGTCCGCATTCCACTCGAAAGGTCTTTTCAAGACTCTCGGCGGAGAGCATGAAGAAAAAAAAACTTGTTGAGTTTCAAGGGGTTGAGATTGGTTAGGAGGTGTGTGGGTGGGTGGGGTGTTTGTCCCCGGGATTTCCACGGCCAAATCCCATAAAGAAAATCAGCAACATGAAATATTAAAGTTGGTAAAACACGCGAGAAAAGTTTTTCGGTCTTCCGCGGCACGATTCCTCGGAGGATTGTGGCGTCAGGCCAGGATAACTACCCCTTGCCGCGGCTTTTTGTGAATGTTTTATTTTCGGCAACTGCTCTACGCCTTTTGGGGGTTGCTTTGAAGGGGGTTTGCACCCCAATCCCCGCGAAAACCCCACAGGATTCCCGAATAGTCCCCTTGCATGTACGCCGGCTATTGCGAGGTTATTGCGTCGTTGATTTGGCTAAGCGAGGTTATAATTCTAATTTATTGTAAGTGAACAAGTCACAGGCATGACGTTGACGTTGGCCATCTTATTGTTAGGGGGTTTTCGGCTTCGAGCCGGCCAATTAGATGACACATTCTGAAATCCTGAATTCACCTGTTTTTTAGGCCGATATTATGATATTATGCCACCCCCATTCGTCGCAAGTCATCTGCAGCATTCCCACGATTTTAATGTAACCATTACAAGGACCCACCAAATCAAATACAAAATTTCAAGTTTTTCCTTTGATGTTCGTCAAGCAAGTCATGTGTGCTGGCCATCAAAAAAAAGTTTACAACATAGGCTATTTTCACAGGGCATTTTCATTTATGTAAAGTGGAGTTTGATTTGTATTGAACATCGGAGAAAAAATTCTATAAATTGTCAATGCTTTTAGCGTTACACATTTTTTTCATGCTTTAAATTCCATAAATATTGAATGAATTTTTATTCAGGAAAACTACTAAACATTAATAGCATTTGTAAACCATTTATAATCATTTCTGTTCTATAGAAAACACTTTGTTGTAGAAAATAAATCATTCTATAAAATTTTAATTAAGGTAAAAACCTACAGTTGTCGTCGCTTAATTTCTCTTACAAATAGATTCTCGTTATCGAATTTATATTGAGAAAAATTGTCAAGCGGTTCTGAGAATATCCTTGCAAATGGCGAGCTATTACTGTAATTCCCGAGCCACCCGCATGAATCGATTCAAATGCTGTCCTGCAACATATTGGATTGCAAGGGACAATCAATCAATCCGAGACACATCAAGCGGTCATCCCTCATTCATCAGTACCGCCTGATTTTTCCGATTTTTCCCCTGTCTCCTTGCCAACTTCCCAAACCCCCAGAAAACCCCCGACCCAACCGACCACACACAATCATCAACTATTTATCCCCAATTGCTTGGAAGAATCAGTCAGAGTGCAGGGCATGGGCAAGTTCATGAAACCCAGGCAAAGCAAACCGAATGCGAAAACTTTGCACACATGACGGAGCAGCTAGGATGGGTTCTCGGCGGAGGTTGTGGGGTTTGTGGGATTGGGGGTGCCAGGAAATGGCGAAATTGTGGGTGGGTGGTGCTCTCTGCCTCGAAGGCAAAGGCAAAAGTCCAAGTCAAACGACTAAGCGGCATGTCGTCAATAAATTTTCCATTAAATTCAAAGTAACCCAAAACAAGCAAAAACGGGGGAAAATACAAAAAAAAAAAGGAAAGAAAAACCTACGGAGGAAGGTATCCGAAGGAACATGGCGCAGAACACTACATAACTTTTCCTTGTTACGTGCCAGTGTGTGGGGTGTGTTACCCCGTTTATGCAGGGGCAATATCATAAAGTTTTTAAGTTTTAAAATGAAAAGCTAGAATATTGTTCACATTAAAGGTTCTTGATTATCATATATTTAGATGCAAAAAAAGTTATGGAAGCTATACAACTCTTAAATATATTACAATCGTGTTTGGTATATAACAAAATTTTAAAATTTCTAATACAAACAACATCTTTATTAGGGTAAAAAATAAATTTTAAAAATATTTTATTATCTCGTATTATGTGTTTCATATCTAATTTCATGGCATAATCTCAATTTTAATCATTTATCCTGAAATATTTCAGACAAAGAGCTCCGCATAAACTAGGCATGTGTGTGGGTGTCGCTTCCTTTAGTTTTTCAGTATGTGTGTTTGTTATTGGTATAGCTTCCTGCTTTCCGCTTGCCTGCCTACTTCGGCAATTGCCTTCAACTCGAGCCTCTTATTCAATTTTCGCTGGCGTGTGGCGCCATCTAGCGCCCACCGCCGGCAACGCCAGCAACAGCAACTCCAACAACAAAAGCAACAAGCGTTGAGCGTTATTGTTGCCGCCGGCAATACACTGCAGGCAAACCATAAGCTATGGGGGCAACCCACAACATCCCAAACATCAACAACCAAGTCAAAATGGGAGGTAGCTTACCATAGACAAATCGAACGCTACATACTCTTACGATCCATAAAAACCAAAATACTATGTTGTTAATAAGGTAGTTGTAAGTGAATTACAAAAACATAAACTATTTATTAATAGAAATATATAAAACTTAAGGACAAAAATATGATGAAGTGAAACTAATGGTTAAAAAATAATAATAAAACTATATTGAAATTAAAAACTTTAATAGTTCTTCTTAACCATTATAATTTGCTTACAAAAATGCAAACAGGTTAATCACTTTATAAAAATAGTTCATTCAAAAAGTAATTTAAATTCTGATAAATATACAATTTAATTGCAACCCTTATAACTCATCTAAATAAATAGTAAATAATCTTATCCCGAGTAATAAAATGTTCCTCATCTTAAAAAGCATTTCCATCCACGCAGGAGAGTTGCTCTTTTTAAAGATAAGGGTATAGGAACAGCATCAGCAATAAGTTTTCTTTGCGGATCTTTGTTGTTGTTGCTGGTTTATTCATATGCCAAACAGCAAATCGTTTGTGGTTGTTGTACAGCTGATGTTATTCTTGCTGGAATGGAAGCCTGTGGAAGCAACAACCCAAAAGCTGCCTCCAAGTGCTCCATATTCATATGCAAATAGCAAGGCGAGGACCTTTGTTCTGAGATGTTATTGTGTTTTTTTGTTTCTTCTTTTTTTTTTGCTGCGTTGGCGTCTCTGCCAAAGTCGACTGCGACTGCAAAAGTGGCGCCCCAATGCTTGATTTCAATTTTCAAGTGCTTCCTGCTGTTGTTGTTGTTGTTGCTGCTGTTGTTGCAAGACCGCTCAGCTATTTGACATCTCAAGCAGCGTTACAACAAATGGCAATAACAACACCCTCGGCGGGGAAACGGGAAAGTAGGGGGCTTCTGCAAAAACAGTTGAAATAACAACTTGAGGAGTCAACGTTTTGCTGCGTGGTCCGCAATAGCAAAACAGAAAATCGGCTCATCCAGACCACAAATGCAAGCCGTTTTCCCCGCTCTTGACTGGATGAGTGCCCCACTACGAACCCATGATGGCGATGAGGATTGGGGAATGGGGATTTGGGGATGCGGATGACTACGACGACGATGAGCCTAAAATGCTCCGGGCGCCGGCTTACAAAGGGGAGGATACATGGGATAAAGGAGTTCGGGAACAGAAACTAGCTGACTTCCACTCAAACTCCGCCTTTTAAGCCCCAAAAAGCGACACCAAAACAAGCTGCAAAGCTCTACACTAGCCCAAAAGTGTAGGAAAGCCAACTGTTTCCCAGAAAATATTTTGAACTTAAAATATGTTAACTTCCCTTTGCCTTTTTAACATATTACAAACTTATAAAATGTTCAGGAAATGTCATAAGATGGTAACCCAGTTTTAACTTTCTTAAAAACCTCACAATAACCTTTTTAAAATTTAAGTAATATAATAGAAGGATTCTGCTTTTTATTGGCATTAAAACAAGTTCGAATATAAGTAGATGCTTTGAGTTGCAAAACTTGAAGTTAAGAAAGTTCCACCCTACGTGATATGTGAAAGTCGAAAACTTTTTTAAAGGACTTTTATAAAGAAAAAATAGCACAGGTGTGCAAATTACAGGGGAAAGCATATAGAGCTTAAGAATGTTAAGGAAATATAAATAGAATTTTTAAAAAGTGGTAAATATATTAAGAAACTTTATATTACAACTTATTTGATTATACCTTTTGTATTTCTACTGGCAAACTCTAAATTAATATTGGTTTGTTAATATCAAAATAAAAATTCCCAATCTTATGTATTTTTCTTTATGGATGGTTTCCAAACTATCTTTCTTTCAATGTACCTTAGTGTGTGTTTTTCGAGCGCATTCGCTCTGATTAAAGTATCCGCACACGAGCATTGGCAAAATGGCCACATGACGATGTTTCTGCCGGGAGGATCCTGCGTCGCATTACTCGCAGCAGTTTCCGGTTTATAGCCTCATTGAAAATCCTTGCCGCTGCCCTGACAGCTTTAAACTGATTGCTCCACACAAACACGAACAC